CACCACCACCACCACCACCACCACCAAAGGCCGTCCTCTTTCACGAAGCTTCCCTGCACAAGTCTACCCCAGTTCCTCCACCCTTCCTGGAACGTTTGGATGGTGCCTCCAGGGTTGAGGTCAAATGTACTCGCGGAGGGTATACATTATCTCATCCCGGTAGGTCTCGAGGTCATTCACCTCGGGCAGATCGGCGCGGTACTGGTGGGAGATGTGCTCGGCCAAAACGTCGTAGTGCCGCCTCCATCGTTTCGACCATAGCTCCTGGTCATGGCCCCGCCCACTCGCGATGGTCGTCTGGCGGAGACATGTGATCATTGTCACAATCGAGGAGAGCTGACCTGAATCCGCTTGGCGCTCTTGGTACCAGCCGTGTATGACACCGAACGCTATCTCTTGGGTCGCCTGCTCCATTCGTATCTCTCCTCACTCAAAGCGTTGGATACTTTCTTCTAACCAATGTGGTTCCTGACGCGAGTCCATCAGTATTCGCGGTACTTTGACAAGTCGGAAACGAGGTGACGCTGTCGCTTGAACCAAAAGGAATCCGAATATCGACCTGGGGGCAGCACTCTCCTGGGTCTTCAAATCAGAATGTGCCGTGATGGTGTGAGTCGATAGAGAGGGAGAGGTCTCTCGTCCATATATATACATGTAGACATGGATTCTCTGCGGCGGGGGGCCGGCGGGGTACCGGCATCGACATCGCTACGACCTGGTGAAGTCGTCGTCACCGGGAAAGTCCTCCAAGAGCTCTGCGAAAGCCCGAAACTCAGCTCATCTTCTCCCTTGCAGTCTTCTTCACGTCCTTGGCAGCCTCATCGGAGATCAACATGGAGGCGGTTGTCGACCGGGGGTGCGATTGACGACAGGGGTAGACATATCCAATCAAGCAGTGAGCCCATGTTGATGGCCGGAGTGTCCACTCTCTCCGGGAAACCGGTCGCGGGGGAATGGTGGTCAGCGGCGACGTCACCAACGTGAGCAATCAAGGGTATCCCATCTGAGAGCCCAGATCATCCCGATGCTGGCAGCCAGTATAGAGGCCATGGGAAAGCTATATCAACGCGGTCAACCCTGGACTGAGCCGACTGCATCTCTATTTTCTTTTCGCACGCACCACATTCCCCCTTCGCACCGTCAGCTCCATGCGTCACACCCGCATTCACGCACTGAGGACCACGGACCATGCACAGACCCGCCCCGCCCCGAAATCCCTTGACCGCCCGCCAAACCTTGATGCTGTTGGCATTTGGGCTCAAGATATGGCAGCTGGAAGTCCTCTGGCTTGTCACAACTGTGGTCCGATTCATCATCCAGATGACCACCGTTGTCGCATTCACCGCGGTCCTTCGAGATTTGAGCGAAAGTGAGACCCACCGCGGTCGTCTCCGAGGATACGAGCAACACGACGAGCCGCGGAGCGAATCTGTCCGAGAGCCAAAATGAGGCCCTGGTGGCGGTCGGTGACGTCGCGCCCGGATTTTATTGCGGCGTGGCCTACCGATGATCGAAACGAGGGTTCGGAAAACACCGGGGAAGGGCGATGAAGAAGCGAGAGAGCATGGCGATGAATGGGTGGACGGGCGATCAGGGTCTCGTCGCAGACGCCACGGAATCCAGGGTAGAGGGCGTGGGTCTGACGGATTAAGCGCCTGGGTTTCGGTATACTAGGTCAATATGTGGTTATCGAGCGGGTGGTCGGTGTCTCTTGGAGGGTCGTGACGGGTGGGATGAAATGGACGGTCTGCGCGTTTCTAGTGAGACAAGGTCGCTTTCGCGGGGGATGTAGAGTACGAGAGTCTTCCTATGGTCGGAGGGAGCGTAATCTGTACGTCGGTGCGACCGTGGCTGATGTGATGCTGTAATGATTCAAAGATATTCTGAAGCGAGCACGAAGCATGTTACAATTCTCCTTCCCATCGCACTCTTGCTTTCATGTTGAGCCCGCGGCGAGAAAAGCCTTCCTCCGCGAACGTGTTGGCGTGGCTGTCAATGAGCAACTTTATGACCCCTGTCGGGAAGCGGAGTAATTTAGTCTGAAGAGAGCGGGTGGCGAATACCATCAGCGGGTGGTGCGCCCAACGGTGGTGTGTGACATTGGCGACGAGAGGAAAGCCTAGCCCCCTGATTCTCATGTGGGCGAGTCCGAAGGGTCCTTTTGACTCACTCGGCATCCACGGTGGCCCTCGCTGCGTGGTATTCCAAGTCGCGGTGGTAGATTCTGCGGCGTAGACTGGCAAGATCACTCCAGCCAGATTTAAAGCTCCGAATTCTAATTCACTTCATCTCAACACCTTGGAGTGATGCTCTGTTCACATCTTCTACATGTGCATTACCACTTATGGTAAGTTACAGTAGACGTTTTGAATTGGCACTTCTATGCTTTACTGTAACGATGACCACCCGCAACAAAAGAGAATACACTGCTTCCGTAACTGTTGGCCAACGACGTGCCCTATCAGCTACGGTCCACTGTTTGGCGTTTCGTACGCACGCGGGGAGCTGCATATCTAACTCACATCTTGCTAGTTAAAGAGAGAAGAAGTTAGGAGTGAACAGATTTCCATGGCCCAAACGCTCGGATCAACACACCTCCCATGATATGGAGCTCCTATCATTTGCTCAACTGCTCTGATGTTAGAGTACGATCTAAGCCTTGGACCAAGGTCAGGTTGTCTGTCCCCAGGATTGTCCAAGGTCGCTTTGCTGGGCTCACCACCACGTTCTCACCAGTTAGGCCGCTGATGGGGATGAGCGGCGTTCTGATTCACAACATTAACTTAGTCCTTCCACAGTGAAGATACGTACTGGTCTGTGCTGATTCCAAGTGCCGTGAGCTTCGCGAGCACTGCATGCGTGAGTTCCCGGAATGCCGCTTCGGACCAGTCTGTCGAGTCCCTACGACAGCCGTCAGCGCACCGATTCGCATGGAGCGCCGGTGTCGTACATCTTGTTCAGAACGCACACCACTGGACATTTATTCATCTTTCCGGCCGTGACACCGACGTCGTCATTGATCGTCTCGGGGGACAAGACCAGCGCAATGCCATCCACAATATTTCCTTCACGCCACGGCTCGACTAGCGGACGATCACGATCATTGCCACACTCCCGAGCCCCTGAAACCATACGGATGGCCACTGTAAATGAGGGAGTGTAGAACAACGGCGTTCTATGCAGTTGTTGTAAAGTCGACACGACTTGACTGTACGACGTCACGTCTCTTGCTTTGAAAACCTGGAAGGACTCGAGATCGACACCGTTCAACTTGATTCGAGAGTGAGAATATGCACAGAAACACAAAGGGTTCCACACGGGAAGAAGGCTTGGAGGGAGAGAGGGGGTGAAAGGGAGTACCTGGTACAGCAGTTGGCCTGCAATGGTCTTTTTCCCGGCCCTGGCGGGTCCGACTATCTCGAGAGTCCTGGGTTTCTGTTCTCAGCCATCGACGAAAGCGCCCCCAGCGGTGTCCAGGTTGACTCACTTCATGGTATAGGATTCTAGCGAAGGCACAGACGTTAACCTGGTATGGCTTGCAAGACCGAACGTAACATCCCTTAGTTTTCCACAGGACCGACTGCGACTAAATTAGCAAAAGCCGGTGTGTGTTGTTAGTTTACAGTAGTTCTCGAAATCTGCCTACGTATATTGTAATTTACCCTACAAATTCGTCATTTATTCAACACTCAATTCGTTTGTATTCTAATGACTCCACAGGTTCAACTACCCCCCCCCCAACCATCCTCACGTCAGGTCGCCCCTCTGCTTTATCCCCTAGCACAAAGTGCGGGGACCGAGCCTGTTGGAATCTTCGTTCAACAGCTTCAAATCCACCCAGTGCCACTAGAAGCTTGAGCCAACTGCGCCACGGCAGCCTGATGATTGCTTCGCCGTGCCCAGTCCATGGGAGTTCGCCCCCGCTCATCCTGCAGGTCGAGCACTACCTCGCGGTCTTGAAGCAACACCTCGATCGTCGCCACCATGCCCTGGCCGGCCGCGTGTGAAAGAGGGGACCGGCCGGCCCAATCTCGTCCATTTTTGTCAATGTTTGGTGAGCGGAGCAGGTATCTCACGATTTCCGCGTGTCCTTGGCCCGCCGCCGATGCGAGTATTGACCGCCCAGAGATGGTGTCCCGCTGATTGACGTTGGCTCGCCCTTGCTCGATCAGGACCTGTATCGTTTGGAGATGGCCCGGTGGATCGAGAGCCCAAGCCAATGCCGACCATCCACATTCGTCGTGGGCATCGACCGCCACGGGGCAGGTTCTGACCAGGTAGGTCAACAGTGATAGGTCAGAACCACGTCGTGTGGCTTCTGAGCTATTGGCCGCCCATGAGATCGCGTTACGACCAGTGATGTCTTCCGCGCCGATCGCCACGTCGGCGTGCACGAGATGCATGACCACCTCCAAGTGGCCGTGTTGGGCCGCGTGTGATACAGAGTTCCTCCCGCCTCGGTCGATTTGATGAACGTCGATGCCAGGGTGGGCTAGGAGAGGCCGCAGAACGTTGTCCAAGCCAGACTGGATGGCGTACACCAGGGCGTTGCGCCCCTGCGCGTCGGTCGCAACAAGCGTCGGGCGTCCATCCTCGAGGAGCGTGTGGACACATTCCGTGGCGCCAGCATGACAGGCTTCCATCAGTGCCGTCCGGCCACGCCCGTCCACTTGGTCAAGGAGAATGTCAACGCGTCCCATCAGACCGCGGAGGATTTCCTGTTGGTTTCCCTTCGCGGCGAGGACGAGTGGAGGAGTCCGGCACCATCGAGCGCCGTGATTGGGGCTGGCTCTCCCCTTTTCAAGCAGCAATTCACAGGTCTCCCAAGACCCAGCCTGGATTGCCACAGCCAAGGCCGACTGCAACTGTTCCACCGTCGCAGGAGGGAGATGGCCTCCGAGGAGGATGTCCACACATTTGCTGTGGCCTTCCGACGAAGCCCAGTACAGGGCGAGTGGTCCACTCGCCCCGGTCTGCTGCTCCGGTGGCTGTTGTAGCAGCGTTTGCAAGGCTCGGGCGAGACCGAAGAAGGCAGCCAGAATGATCGCGTTAGCTTCGTCCGCTCTAGGCCCAGGCATCTGTGAATGGTAGGCGACGTCGTCATACCACGTCCGTCGGGCCCCTGTCGGCCCGGTTAACAAGGTTATCGCATCCTCCACGACCCAAGTGTCGAGCACCCCCTCGACGCGAGCGTAATGATCGGTCCAATATCGTGCGGCATATTGATATGCATCAGAACCCCGTTCAGCGTTGTGGCTGCCGACGGGATCGCGCAGATTCTCGTCCTGTAGGAAGTACACATTCTGGATGTCATATACATCTCCGTACGGGCCAGTGGCGCCCGGGGATAGCCCAACCTCCGCGCTTGCTGTCGCCCGAGGTACAGCGAGCGGGTCGCTGGTTGGTGTCTCGCTCATGCAACCCGTCTTCCTGTCCTCCTGGAGAAGATACCGCATGCAAATGAGCGCGGGCACGAGATCAGGACATGTTCTCTGCATCTCGGCCACCGGCCAGCGGGACTCGCGTAAAATGGAGGCATGGACAGAGAGGAGATATGGGTGTGCCAACCTGGTGGAGTTGCCCATGAGAGATGCGCTGTCACGAAAGCTTCGTCCCCCGGGATGGGACGGGGTGAACAGGTACCAGGTCACGCGGACGTAATACCCCATCACCCTCTCGACGTCCCTCGTGAGATGCGCTGAAGTTGCGTCGACCGGCCCCCTCTGTGGGTGAACGGCAAGCTCGTTCTGTGGGCGTCTAGGATCTGGGCCTTCACCAGCAACGCTCGGCAATTGCTCGATTATTAGGGCGCTGTTGGGCGTGGTGGGAAACGAATGCCACCAGATTTCTCGCACATGGCATCGGAGATCGGAGTGTGCAATCAACTCAAGCCGCTTCAAGCCAGCAAGCGTGAAGCTCACCATCAGCCTGCGGAAGAGCAACCTAGTTGCAGCCCGCGAGATATCAGAGCATACTAGGCGATGGTGGAGTAGATTCTCTAGAGGCAGCAAGTTCAAGATCGCGAGGAGGATCTCTGGGGGTAACATATGGCTCGGCACCGCCTTAGACAGGGTTGACATCGTGCGACTTAGCGATCCGGCTAGATCACGAAAGGCTTTGGGCGGCGATAGCAGTTCGCGTGTCCACGCGAGATACAGTGATGTGCGAAATCGATGTCCTGAACATGTGCGAAAGTATCTTTGTAAGGACGATCGGTTCACCCACTATGGGTCACACCTACCTTAAAATGGAAATACTTAAAACTAAACGCCTAACCAATGAATGCCTCCTGCGATTGCGGAGCCGTGAATGCTGGATTTCACGGACACGACCCTTATCGTCATTTGAATTGGCGTGAATATACTAACGCATACCAAAGCAGTCGGTCCCCCTTTAAGCCATCACGGTCGCCCTCTCACTCCTCCTCCACATCCAACTTACCTGCACGTCCGTCTGTAGCCTGCGTTCAATACTGACAAGAATAACGACAATGAGCGCTACGAGTATGATTACGAGCACACTTGACCCAGGTGTATTCCAACGCCATCATTTTACGAACGATGTACAGCATCTTTACCACGTCTATGACAATCTATCCCAGACTCCGTATCAGGAAGGAGCAGGCATAGAGTGTGGCGATGTCAATTCCTACACCATGCATCCTCAGTACATTATCACATATCATACTATGTCCAATCACCTCAACTGGAATAATCGTGAGCCCACATACTTCATTTCACTCTACGACAATTTGCATCGGGCACAATTTGAAGCGAACAGGAGAATAAATCAGGTCTTTGTTCCTAACCAGGTCAGGCGGCGGAATCCAGCAAGCGTTCGAATTGCAGAAATTTCTGTACACGAACTCGAGAGGCTTAATGTCTTCTACTTTTCACGTACCGACCTTATACAAATGTTACGTCCTCCACCGAATCATCCTGTTTTTATCAATTCATCGCCAGGAGAGTGGTTTGTTATGGAATACATACCTGATAGCGCTGTGTCGAGGATTATTTAGGTGCAGATGCTCTATGTCGACGACCTCTTACTGTGACTTAGTATTGAAGATGCTTTTGTGTATTATACTGCAGCATTCTTCACTCTATTATTTGAACAGTATTCGCCGCATCGAGTTTTAGGGATCGACATGCAGCCACGTTATAATTAACAACTTAGGTCGTGTGTGTCGAAGTCAGGTTCGCCGCTATGTCTGGCGTGGTGTCATGGAAGGCATCACATTATTTGGATGATGTCAGATGGACGAGAGGTAGTTTGCACTGCGGGGTAATGCTTGGCGACAGTGGCACCCCGCATTATGAGGTAAGCGTGACTCATAGTGGAGAAACACTGTCATCCATCGAAAAGATTCTTCATGCATTTTTAGGACGCCGATTTTGCACATCACTTTTATGAATAAGTTTTGTAGAATGAGAAGCGATTCACTGGCAGTGAGAGTCATTTTGCCTGGTCGATCGCGTTCCAAGGGACAAGTGTAACGGTACAGTACACTATGCTCTGTCTCTGGCATCACATTGGTCGCTTTTCCTTCTTGACAAGAAACGGTACCAACAATACATGGGTGACCCTGCAAGGCGCTCCACATTTCTGTTTCCTGTCCATGGATCAATGTGATCTGTTCGCCTTCAACTGCGAAGAACAGTGGCAAATACAGCCACGCACCAGCAAGTGTTTCATTTGTAAATCATAACTTATTATAAGGGCCCGGGTTGTAGATGATTGCGTGTGCTTCTCCGAGTTGCGGCGATGGAATTTGAGCTCACGTGACGTGCATCCCGTGAACGGTCTTGGCGGCCTGACCACCACTTCCCCGCCTCATCTTCCACCTAACCTTTCCGCAAGCCAGCAGTTGTGAACTCTGCTACATTACCTTAGGGTTACAGAACCTCCTTTGGTTCGTGAATACGTGGGCTTTTCTCCACCTTGGAGCTCTGGACCCCGACAACAGGATCTGAC